GGACGGTTGGGCAGGGCACAGCCCTTTCCCCAGCTCACCACGCCGGCCAGCACCCAACGCCCAGACTGCACGCAGGTCAGGGGCCCTCCGGAGTCCCCCTGCAGGAGGAAGGGCCACTTAGCCGCAGCCTGCCCAAGAGTTGGGTGCAGCTCTCTCAGCTCCAGGCCTGGCAGGTAGCGCCAAGTGGGTGCTGAGACGCTGGGCAAACTGGGGATATCTTCTGGGACCTGCGAAGTGGGGTGCTGAGCACAAGGAGTAGAGGTGTGTGCGCACCTGGCAGGCGTCCTTGTGGCCCCCCAGGTAGCCGGCGCACAGGTTCCCAGGCAACACAATGCGCTCGGCCTGGGGCACCCTGGCCCCTAGGTGGTAGAGGCGGTCACAGGCTCTGGAGTCCAGCAGCGGCACCCTCACTCCCTGCAGGGGGCGCCACTCCGGGAGCGGAACTAGAGGCAGAGCAGAGATCTCAGACCCCGAGGCCAGGGCAGCAGGTTAGGGTCCCAGGGAGAAACCGAACCTGCGAGGCCGACCTGCCAGGCTCGTCATCGCAATCAGGCTGGAACATCTGAGTTCCTAGAAGCTGCGTTGGGTCCTCGATTGGGACTGGGGTTTCCAGTCTGATGAAGGAAGGGCAGTCTCTCCCATACCCCCGGTCTTACCTCCCGGGCGGAGGCTGCCCCAGCCGGTGACCCAGCACAGGGAACCTGGAGGCGGGCGGGCGCCGGGCTCGGGCAGGCAGACGGGCTGGACGCGGGCGCTCAGAGGTATGGTGTGCCGCAGCTGCAACAGCGCAAGATCGCCTCGGGCCGCGTCCTCGGAGTAGTCGGGGGACAGCAACACCCGCCGCAGCGGCGCGGAGAGCGCGCGAGGCGAGGCCGGGTCCAGGCGCAGCGCCCCTAGACGCACGCGGTATTCGGACAGCAAGGCCCGCCTGCGGGACAGGAGCAGCAGGAGTCCCGCCGCTGCCCACCCACCTGCTGGGGTCCCCCCGCGGGGGCCTGGGGAGGACACGGACCTGGGGAAGCAGTGCGCCGCCGTCAGCACCCACTGGGGAGCGATGAGCGACCCGCCGCACACATGCGCCCCAGCGCGCTGGATGCTCGCCTGCCACGGCCACTCTCCCTCCCGGGCGTCGCGGCCCCCTACGATCCGACTGGATACACGGGGCTGCCCGCAGGCTGCGAGGGGACAAGGGGCCGTGAGGACGGCGGAGGACTGGGCGCTGCACACAAGGCCCTCGGAGGCCACTTACCTGCCCGCGCCGGGGACGCCGGGGACGCCGGGGACGCGGCAGCTCCTGGGTGGGAAGCAGGGAGGGGGCCGGATTATGGATTTGGTGCCGGATAATGGTCTTGGAGGAGGGGAGAGATTACCGGGGAGGAGCTGCGTGGAAGCCACTAGTCACACTGATCCCCTGCTAGGCTTTGTGCAATCGGTTGCCGGAGAGCACTGTGGGGGTGAGGGGCCTATTACACACTCGTGGGAGATGGCCCAGGTCTGTAGGATGCCCAAGGGTGCTCTCACGGAAGGACCCAGAAGGATGGGCTGGAGCCAGGGTCCCTGCATCCAGCGTGGGAAGAGACACCCCCCCTCCCCTCCCACGCCCAACGTGCTCACCTAGCACCAGCAGCAGCAGGACCCCGGCACAGAAAGCCCCCTCCATTCTGCCTACAGACCTGGGTAAGGTACCAGTGGCTGTGGCTCAGGACTCTGTTTCGGAGCCCCTGGGAGAAGAAAGGAGTCTTTTGCTCTGGGCACAAGCCCACCACCCCCTACCTGATCCTCTCCCCCACCCCAGCTGGTCCTGGACAATGCCCATGGCCCAGGTTCAGACCCTCCAGCTATGCAGCTTGCCCACCCCCAGCTCCATAGGAGGCTCTGCAGAAGCTGGCAGCCTCCTTCACCTGCTCCCGTTAACTTCCTCCACCCTACTTGCCCTCACCCTCACAGCCTGGTGCCCTCACTGTTGACTGGGCCAGGAGAAGGCTTCGGGGCTTAAAGGGCAGGAGGGTGGAGGACCAGCCAGGGGGTCATTACCAGGTGGGGCGGGGCTGCGGCTACACCTGACTGGCCTCAGACAAAGAGGCTTTGAGTGGTGCTCTGTGGGGACACCTGGGCTGTCCCCCAAGGAAGCCTCAGGGGCTGGGGTGGACCTGCAGGCTGGCTGGGCTCTGTGGGATCCTTGCCCATCCCACCAAAGCTGTGTGGGGCTCAGCCCAGTCAGCCAGCCCCACACAGGGCCCCCAGCTGCGCAGTCCCCTCCCAGAGACCAGGGCAGGGTGGGCTCAGGCTGGCTCACAGCAGACCTGACCAGGAGAAGCAGTCCACCCGCTGGCTGTCTGAGGGTGGTCAGGACAGAGTGGCTGACCAACAGGGCCACCAGGAGTCAGTCCCTTCCCCCTTCCTTCCTGCCTTTCCTTCTATTGGGCAGATTTACAGAAAGGAGAGACAAAAAGATTTCCCTTTGCTGGTTCACTCCCCAAGTGACCGCAACACCCAGAGCTGAACCGGTCCGAAGCCAGGAGCCGGGAGCTTATTCTGTATCAACCATGCAAGTGCAGGGTCCTAAGGCTTTGGGCCGTCCTCCACTGCTTTCCCAGGCCACAGGCAGGGAGCTGGGTGGGAAGTGGAGCAGCTAGGATACAAACCATATGGGATCGTGGCAGATGCAAGCTGAGGATTTAGCTGCTAGGCTATTGCACTAGGCCCACATATGGTCCCTCTTAAGGACCGCCCTGGAGCTGCAGCCAGGATGGTGCCCAGGGCTCCTAGCCATCCCCAGTTTGTCCCTCAGCCCACTGTTGTGTCATTCACTCTCCAGTCCTGCCGAGGCCATGTGCTTAACTTGTATTGCAGGGGATTTTTATTAGCTTGATGACCCTCCATGCAGCTGGGCCAGGTCCGTGAGCCTGCATCCATGCTGGAGGTGCAAGAAGCAGAGATTCAATTCTTGTGGTTCTGTCAGGGACCTCAGAGATCCAGGCTCTGGTCTCCAACCCCCAAAGGAATTTGAGAATCTGAGGCTGAGGCATCGATGCAGGTTGGTGGAGGAAGGGGGTGAGATTGCAACACAGGAGGGAGTGTGGACCACCCCAGAGTGAGGACCCCACATGGGCACGAGCCCCCTGTTCAGTGATCTGGAGCCCCGGGGGCTCTGCAAGGGAGACAGGCACTTCCAGGAATTTGGGGGCTGCCCAATTCCCTGATTTTTTTTTTTTTTATTGCAAAGTCAGATATACAGAGAGGAGGAGAGACAGAGAGGAAGATTTTCCATCCAATGATTCACTCCCCAAGTGAGTGCAACTGCCAGTGCTGCACCAATCCGGAGCCAGGAGCCAGGAACTTCTTTCCAGGGTCCCAAAGCTTTGGGCCATCCTCGACTGCTTTCCCAGGCCACAAACAGGGAGCTGGATGGGAAGTGGAGCTGCCGGGATTAGAACTGGCGCCCATGTGGGATCCTGGTGTGTTCAAGGCGAGGACTTTAGCCGCTAGGCCACGCCGCCGGGCCCCCTTTGATTTCTGACTCCTGGTGATTCATTTGGGTACACCCGGAATAGCGGTAGTGGCTGCTGCTGCTGGCTATGGAGCTGTGCTGGCCCCGGCTGCAGCACTGCCTGTGACCACAGGACACCTGCGGAGCTGTGACGCTTACCGGCCCGGTGACTTGCCAGTGCCCTCTGCGCTTTAACACTGACCAGGTGCCATGACCAACCGCAACCTGCCTACTTGCTGCCCGCCTACAGTGTAACAACCACTCGTTGGCTGTACTACAGTCGGGGGGACCGAGAACTGACCCGCTACCTTAGTGCCCGTTCTGGTTCAACAGAACACACCAGGGCTGGGGACACTGACAGCTCCTGGGATGTGCAGCTGCACCGTTGGGATCCGCACCAGCCCTTCCCTGCAACCAGGTGGGTTCCCTGAGGCGGCTTTTCCTGCTGCCAGGGAGTGCAGACTGTCCCTGCAGTGGGCAGTGGGTGACCATGGGCCCCAGCAGCCTCACCCCTTTGTGGCGTAAGTGTGTGTGGGGGGGTACGACATTAAGGCCCTGCTGGAGATGCCCACACCCCCCTCAGAGCACTGGTGCCTACCCAGCCGGCTCTGCCATGTGCAGACCAGGACAGAGCACTGCCGCCAGGGAGCCAGGGGACAAAGAGCCACCGTGGCCCTCCCTGGAGATGGCTCAACCTTCTGAGATGAGGAGTCCCAGGACTTGGGGCGGCATGCCTTGTTCCTCCTGCCCCAGACGTGAGGGTGCTCAGCTGCGGGCACATGAGGCCAGGGTAGCTGAGACTCGGTGCGTGAGACCTGGCACGTGAGCTGTGGTCCCTGCCCCAGTGCACAGGCCAGTTACACTGCCATCTCTCCCCAGAAGCCCCAGGGTTGAGGGCTCCCCGGTTCCCGGAATGGGGTCCCAGGGACCTCAGCCCCTCTGCGTGCCGTCCCTTGCCAGAGGTGATTGAAGACAGGTGGGGTGGGGGAAGTGTGCCAAGTGGCAGCCCCCAACCCCGCACTCCGCCATGCATTTGATGACAACAAATTTCGCGAGAGGAGAGGGAGCCGGATGAGGCAGAGGCCATGGTTCACAAGCCCCTCAGAGGGAGGGAGCCTCCTGGCTCCGGTTTGGACCTGCGCCCAGCCCGGGTCATCACGGCCACGTGGGGGTTTTCAGCCCGGATGGTGGCCGTCCCCGGCGGGGGGCGGGCAGGAAGAGCTTCCAGAATGTTCGCCTTCTATGTTAAGAAACCCTAGACGTCGAGGCCCCTCGCTGCAGGAGGCTGCGGACCCTGCGAACACCGGACACCGGGCGAGACCCCGAGAGCCGATTCCCCGGCGCGCGGACCCGGCGGCCGTGGGACGCTCCCCGCGCCGGACATCCGGCCCCGGCAGGCCCCGCCCCATCAGTGCGGCCCCGCCCCGCCGCGAGGCGTGGCCCCAGCTCCCAGCGCCGATTGGCTGGGCGCGTAGCTCGCCGCGGCTCGGGGAAACCAGGAGCGGCGGGCGCCTCGGCTCTGCTGCGCATGCTCGCTCCGTGACCCCGGCCTGAGGTGACGGCCCGACCCCAGGCGGGCGCCCGTCGTCCAGCACTGAGGCCGAGGGACCGGCCACGGCTCTGGCGCCGCACGGGTGAGGACGGGCCCCTCGGCGTGAGGGGAGGGTCGGCGTCGCGGGGAGTGGACACACCCCCGGCCGGGTGCCCGGGGGCTGCGGGAGGGCGAGCCGCGGCTCCGCGGTCGCCTCTCGGTGCCCGCGCCCTCCTCGCTGCTTCCCCTTGGGTTTTCAGCCCCGGCGTCCCTGCTCCCAGGTGGCGCGCCTTGTCCTGGCCGTGCTGGCCGTCTGGGTGCTGTCCCCTCCTGCTGCCCTCGGAGGGTGCCCAGGGAGGCCGGGGCCTCGGGCTGGAGGGCCGTGCGCAGCAGGTGGCAGCGGTGACCGGGCAGGGCGCGGGCTCTGGGGTCGCTCGCTGTCTGAGCAAAGCGAGCAGCGAGAGGAAGGAGGCGCAGCGGCTGCCATGGCCACGGCGCAGGGTCCAGCGGGCCGGAGGGTGAAGGCCAGCGAGGGGCAGAGGGCAGGCGGGCATCTCTGCCCAGCAGGTGCAGGAGGGTGATTCTGTGCTGCCAACAGGCAGCGCTGCTCCTTGCCGCGGGCCTGCTGCAGAAGAGACGCATCGGAGCTAGGTGTGACGGGGCCTCTGGTGGGGGGCGCCTGGGGGCGCGGGGACACAGCCTGCTCCTTGCCGCGGGCAGCCTGCAGGACCCAGCTGCTGGACCCTGCCCCGTCGTTGCTTCTCTCCACTCCTGCTCCTTTGAAGGACCCCCATGGAGCGGGGGGGCTCCTGGCAGAGCCACAGGCTCCGGGGTTTGGCCCGGGGTCTGCCTGGGCATGAGTGACTGCCCCACGTGCCGATCTTGTGCGATCCTGAGTTGGGGGCTTGTGGCTTCGAGTGTGTGGGTCACCTCGGTCTGATCCACATTGGTGATTCAACCATGGCCGGCTGTGGGCACCACGCTTGGGGGGCAGGTGGACACAGGAGATCTGGCTGGGAATGTGTGTGCAGTTCAGCAGTGCTGCCTCCTGAGGGATGCCGAGTCTGCCTACCAGGGACTGGGATGCCTTCCCACTGCCTCAGTCTCCTGTCCTTCCAACGGCATTTCCACAGCGTCCGGATGATCCTGGAGGGCAGGTGGCCCAAGGTGCGCCCCATGGAGGGGGTGGGGCTGCAGTTCTGTTTCCCTGTGATGGAGTAGACGTCAGGGCTTTGAAGGGCAGTTGCCACTGTTAAATTTGTCAGGTCCGGTGCGGTAGCCTAGTGGATGAAGTTCTTGCCTAGTATGTGCCAGGATCTCATATGGGCACTGGTTTGTGTCTCAGTGGCCCCACTTCCCATCCAGCTCCCTGCCTGTGTCCTGGGAAAATAGTCAAGGACGGCCCAAAGCCTTGGGACCTGCACCCGCGTGGGAGACCTGGCTCCTACTTTTGATTGGCTCTGCTCCAGCCGTTGTGCTCACTTGGGAAGTGAACCATCGGATGGAAGATCTTCCTCTCTGTCTCTTCTCCTCTCTGTATTTCTGCCTTTCCGATAAAAATAAAATAAGTCTTAAAAAAAGTGGGTTATGCTTATTTCCTTTGCGATAAAATAACCAGTTGACTGGATCAATTTTAAAACAACTGACTTTGTATTTGAATATTTTTAGCTTTATGGAGAAAAACCAGGGTCCCGTCATTGACACTCAAGCCTGGGTCCTGGCACTGGTGGCCTGCGCGACCGTGTTCTGCCTGCTGCTGGCCAAGGCCCCGGCCGTGCTGGAGGGACTTTGCTTGGTTTCCTCCGGAGGCTCCCCGGGCAGGGCTGGCTGTGGGGTCCCGCGGAGGGGAGGGGCACCCTGCTCTGATGTGCCTCTTCATGGATGACCTGGCCTTGGTCACCTGCTTGAGGTGGCGTCTGGCCGCTGTGTCCGCTGCCCAGGCCGCTGTGCCTGTTCCCCTCCTGGCTCGTTTCCTGGTGGGTTGTTGTCCTGCCGGGCCCTGGGGAGAGTGTTCCTGGGAACTGACATGTCTTCCAAGGCAGGGGAGGGTGTGGAGCCGCCCAGTGCCCTGGCCGCTCTCTGAAGACCCCAGAGGGGCATCTCAGGTCGAGAACCCGCAGGTGGCTAGGCAGGGGAGGGGGGTGTGTCTTCTGCAGCGCCATCCCCCTGCAGGTTTGTGGGTCACACTTTCTCCACCAGCTCCTGGGCGTCTTCCTAGTTGCTGGATCAGCCTTTATTTGTTCCTTTGACGCCAACTAGCACAGGGAGGGAGGGGCCCTCTCCCCGAGAAATGGACTAATAAAACATTACCTTGTGAGCGACCATATCAGCTTCATTTTTAAAAAATGTCTTTATTTGGAAGGTAGAATGACAGGCAGGGAGAGGCGTGGGTGGGGGAAGGACCTTCCATCTGTGGGTTCACTCCCCAAGTGGCTGCAACAGCTGGTGCTGGGCCAGGCTGAAGGCGGCAGCGGGTACTCAGTCCAGGGCAGCCAGGGCCCAACATCTGCTGCCCTGCTAAGCACGTGAGCAGGGACTGGATGGGAAGTGGAGCAGCTGAGCCACAAACCAGCGCCCTTAGGGGATCTGGGTGCTTGCAAGGCGAAGATTTGGCCATTGAGCTATTCTGCTGGATACACTAATGCTTTATTTATTTATTGTAAATAAAACATAAACATTTAAAATTTTTAAATTTTATTTTCTCTCTGAGAAAGGACAGTCAGCCTGAACGATGGCTGATGGGGCCTACACAATGGCTCAACTGGCTGACCATGTGTCCTGTGGCACCAGAGTCCCTTGGAGGCACCGGTTCCTGTCCTGGTGGCCCTGCTTCCCATCCAGCTCCCTGCCTGTGGCCTGGGAAAGCAGCAGACGGCCCAAAGCCTTGGGACCCTGCACCCACGTGGGAGACCCGGAAGAGGCTCCAGACTCCTGGCTTCAGATCGACTCAACTCTGACCATTACTGCTGTTTGGGGAGTGAACCAGCGGATGGAAGATCTTCCTCCTCTCCGTGTATCTGATTTTCAAAAAAACCCCCACCTGTTTCTGAGGAATAACACCGCCATCTGGTGGCGCCCAGGAGCACTGCAGCGTCACTGTGAACTGTGGTCAGCACCTGGGCGAGGTGATGCCTTTCACGTGGGCCTCTCCTTGCTGACACCCTGGGAGGGGAAGGACATGGGGAAACACAGCGGTGGAAAAGGCGTGCTCACTGCTTGCTGTGAGGTGACACATGTGACTCACTCTACCCAGTTCACAACCAGACTCAGTTTGCCCCTCGGTGCCCCCTGGCCCCAGTGGGTCCTTGAAGCCATCCGCCATGCAGGACCCTGCTTCCCGGGGCTCCAGGAGGGTGCTTCAGTTTTTGAAGTGTGGTTTAGCTGATGCCCCACAGGAGGAGCACAGTGTCCCAGCTGGCGTGGGCGCAGGGCCTGCCCTCCTTGGGGCCTAGTTCCTGGGTGTGACCCATCAATCAGTGCTGGCAGTTCAAGCCATTTCCATGTCATTAAGCACCTGCTGTTAAGTCCCCATTGTGCAGAGCTGCCAATGTTGCAGGCCAGCGCTGACCAGGAGAATGCATTAGGGTCTTCCCAAAGCTCATGGAACATTTTTCCTTGAGAGAGTTCTGTTTTGTTTATTGGACAGGTAAAGTTGCAGAGAGATCTTCCATCCATTGGTTCACTCCCCAGATGGTTGCAGCGGCTGGACTAGGCCAGGCCTGAAGCTAGGAACTCCACCTGGGGGTCCTGAGAAGGTGCAGGGAGAGCCTGAGCAGGAGGCTGGGCCCCAGCTGGGAGCAGGTGCTCGGCTGTGGGCCTCCCACAGCGCCTACCCCCTCCTCTTTTTTTTTTTTTTTTAGTTCAATTGAAAATAAAGATCCCAAGGAAGCGTTAGCCAGAATCTTCCACCCACTGGCTCTAGTCCACACTGACGCCTGGTCCAGGACTCCCACGTGGGGCAGGGGCCGAGCGCTTGCGTCATCTCCCACTGCCCGGTCAGGTGCGTCAGCAGGGATCTGGACAGCAGGCGAGGCGGCTTGACCGGGCCCCGCACACCTATGCATGGTGCAGCTTGCAGCTGACCCTGTTGCAACCCACAGTGTCCTGCCAGGTTTTTGTCGTTGTTGTTGTTTAAAGGTTTATTTATTTTTTTTATTGGAAAGTCAGATATACAGAGCAGAATAGGCGAGACAGAGAGGAAGATCTTCCATCCGATGGTTCACTTCCCAAGTGACCACAACGGCTGGAGCAGAGCCAATCAGAAGCAGGAGCCAGGAGCTTCTTCCAGGTCTCCCACGTGGGTGCAGGGTCCCGAGGCTTTGGGCCGTCCTCTGCTGCTTTCCCAGGCCACAAGCAGGAAGCTGGATGGGAAGCAGGGCTGCTGGGATTAGAACCAGCACCCATATGGGATCCCGGGTATGCAAGGTGAGGTCTTTAACCACTATGCTATTATGCCGGGCCCGCCAGATTTTTTTCTTGACAGATAACTTTCCAAACATAGGATTCTCTTCTCTGTGTGACATGTCCATGTATTGAATGGCCACAGGTGTAGCCTGCAGTCCAGGATGTGGCTGGATCTTTGCATGCCCGGGAAGGGGCGATGAGCCCTGGCTGTCTGGGACGCCAGCTTCTATGATGTGGGTGAGGTGCATGGGTCACCCCCTCAGCTGCTCTGTGGCTCTGTCTGACTCCCTGGCCTCAGCCACAGCCACAACAAGTGCTGGGAGACACCAGCGTGGAACGTGCTAGAAGCATTTTGTGGGTGCTTGGCATGTCCCAGTGAGATGGTGGGACTCTCCCTGGCTGCCGTGTGTGGGTCACCTCGCAGTCCCCAGGAGGGCGTGCACTGACTGACTGCTGCCTCTCCCTCAGGCTGGCCCACGGACTCAGCAGTTTCCTGGCTGGAGAGGACAAGGAGCAGCCCGCCCGCCAGGGGCCCGAGGGACGGGTGCTCGGAGCCGGCATGCCCCTCCCCGAGGCCTGCGAGCAGGAGGCTGCGGCCGTGACTGCTGGCCGGGAGCTGTCCACAAGGCCGGGCACGGACATGGTCTCTGCTGGCCCTCGGAAGCCCCGGAAGTTCTCCAAACTGGTCCTGCTGACGGCCTCCAAGGACAGTGCCAAAGTGGCAGGGGCCAAGCGCCGAGGCGTGCACTGCATCATGTCGCTGGGGGTGCCAGGCTCAGCCACCCTGGCCAAAGCTCTCCTCATGACCCACCCCGAGGCCCAGCGTGCCCTCGAGGGGCCCCCCGAGGAGCCCGAGCAGAAACGCTGCAAGCCTGCTCTGGGTGAGGCTCCTGTGAGGCCGCCTGTCTGCTGCTCCCGGCCTGTCCTCGCTCCTGCACTTCCCGTGACCAGCGTGGGAGGCAGGGGCACAGGGTCCAGGCTGGGCGTCCCCCGGAGTGAATGTGACCCTGACTGGCCTGTCTCAGCCCCAGCTGCCTCGCTCCTTGCAGGGGTCTTTGGGGGGCTGGAAGAGAGGGCCCGGACCACCCAGACATTGTCTGCTGGGGGCTCTGCTGGGCAAACCTCTGTCCTGCCCCATCTCTAGGCTCCTTCCCAAGTGTTTTAAGAGGGTATGTGGCCAGAATAGAAAGCCCCCTCCCCCACTGCTGCCAGTCACAGAGGAGAACTGTGGGTGCCCTGCCCTGGGCCTCAGGGAGCTGCAGGACAATCCCCCAGCATGCTGGCCCCTCCCCACCGCTGCTGCCCGAGCCTTGGCACGCTGGTGCCCTGCAGCTGTTGGCCCAGGGAAGGCTGGGAGCAGCCAGGCAGGTTCACGGCCCTGCTGCCCTACCCTCGCCACCAGCCTTTGCCCCACATCGGGCCACCTTGTCCTTATGGTTCCTAAGCCACCCTGGCAGACAGTGCAGCCAGCTGGGGCGAGCAGGGACTGCCTTTTCTGTACCCCACTCAGGCTTGTCCATGGTTCTCGGGACTCCCAAGGGTAGTGAGACAGGGTCAGTTGGGGGACAAGCTGGAAGGAGCTGGCTGGGGTCCTCGAGGCTCCGGGGAACAGAGCAGGCTGGGGCAGCGGGGGCTAGAGGAGGTACTTGCAGAGGCCTAGGTTCTGGGGGTTGGGCAAAGACCATGGCAGTTGCTGTGGCCCCTGGTGTCCAAAGGCTGTGAGGACCCCTGGAATGGCAAGTTCCCTGACACCTGCGCCTGGGTCAGGTGTGGCCAGCCCTGGCGTGCCATAGGCTGCGGGGCCCCGAGGTGACCCCAGGCCCCACAAGGCTTGGCACAGGTGTTGGCACCTGCGTGTACCCTTCAGGTAGGAAGTTCTAGGGGGGCTGGGTGGCTAGAGGGGTCCAGTGGGAGAACGGAGATGATGTTGCTTGCCCCGCACTGCCCTGAGCTTGTGGCGCCAGAAAGAGCTGTGCGTTTAGATGAGGTGGGCCCGTGGCTCCCTCCAGGTGGTTGGACAGGCAGATCCCCCACAGAGGTGAGGGCTTGGGGGTGAGTGGTCAGGTGAGAGGCCATGGTAGCCCCAAGACTGCCCCTGGGACCCCCAGCCAAGGATGCCTCAGGATATCGAAACAGGGGAGACCCCAGGCCTGGAAAGGAAGTGCCAGGGATGTCAGTGGGGAGCCCCACTCCCCAGCCGCTGCTGTTTGAAGCTCCCACCTGGCTCCTGTCCGTGGGACCTCAGGGAAGCAGAGCCTGGGGCAGCCCGTTCCCCACCCCAAGGCCACCGGTGGTCCTGTAGTGAGGAGGGTCAGGCTGCTCTTGGGACCCTCAGGGCAACGGCTCAAAGCCCCCGGCTCCGGGATGAAGAGCATGCAGGCTCTGGCCAGCCAGTCAGCTGCCCACCTGTCCCCCAGCCCCAGACTGGGGGTTCCTGGAAGCGACGTGCTCAGGGGCCCCCTACATTTCCTGTGACTCCAGACTGACTCAGCCTCTTCTCTTCCAGACGCAGATGCCCAGGAAGCTGTCCAGCTCTCTCTGGACCCTCCCACGGGGGATGGGGAGGGGGCCACGCCGCACCCCGCTGCCCGGGACCTGGACCCAGTGCCTGAGCAGGAGGCGGCCGCGTGCCCCTGAACCCCTGAGCCCCTGAGCCCCTGAGCACTCACCCACAGCACAGCCTTTGCTTTCAGTGTCCTGTCATTTCTTTGTTTAGATGCAGCCCATTACTTTTGTAAGCAGAAAGTCTCAGAGAATAAAGGAACTGTGCGAGATGGCATCCTGGTGGTTTTAAACACTCAGGACGTGCGGTCGCCTGAGCCCTCACCCAGCCTTTACCAGCCCACCCGGCCCCGCTGGCCAGGCAGTCTGCCCCACGCACCCGCCCTCCCCTGTAGGGGCCTGACCCCACGGTGCCGCACTCGGCTCAAAGATTGTGCTGGCCAAGAAGAGGGCCTGTGAGTGGGTGGGCTGCAGAGGGTCCTGACAAGGGCCTGCCTGCAGGAGCTGGAATTAGAACTGGTGCCCAGGGCCCGGCACAATAGTGCAGTGGTTAAAGTCCTCTCCTTGCACGTGCTGGGATCCCATGAGGATACCGGTTCTATCCCAGCTGCCTCACTTCTCATCCAGCTCCCTGCCTGTGGCCTGGGAAAGCAGCAGAGGACGGCCCAAAGCCTCGGGACCTGCACCCGCGTGGGAGACCCAGGAGAGGCTCCTGGCTTCGGATGGGCTCAGCTCTGGCCGTTGGGGCCACTTGGGGAGTGAACCATCGGATGGAGGATCTTCCTCTCTGTCTCTCCTCTCTGTAAATCTGCCTTTCCAATATAAATAAATAAATAAATAAAAAACAACTGGCACCCATATGGATCTCAGTGCATGCAAGGTAAGGACTTTGGCTGCTAGGCCACCACGCCAGACCAGACCCACACCATTTCTTTCCTTTTTTTTTAAGATTGATTTATTTATTGGAAAGTCAGATATACCGAGAGGAGGAGAGACAGGAAGATCTTCCATCCCCAAGTGAGCGCAACGGCTGATGCTGTGCCGATCCGAAGCCAGGACCCAGGAAGTTCTTCCAGGTCTCCCACACGGGTGCAGGGTCCCAAGGCAAGGACTTCAGCTGCTAAGCCACCGTGCTGGGCCCACACCATTTATTTTCAAAAGGCAGAAAGTTAACAGGTGTTGAGGGAAAGCTTCCCTGTGCTGTCTCTTCCCCACTCCCCCAATGCCCGGGGAAGCAGAGGGCAGGGGACTCAAGCCAGGGCCCCAACGCGAGGGGCAGGACCCCAACCCTGGGGCCGAGCAGGTGCTCCGCGGGGGGGGGGGCGGAGCTGGTCCTGGCTGCGCGTCAAGCCCCGCCCCGCGGCCCGGCGCCCCGCCCCCTCCAACTGCGCCCAATCCCCGCGCTGCGCCCGCCCTCTGCGCCCGCCCCGGCCCCGCCCCCGAGAGCCGATTGGCCGAGGTGCCCGGACCGCCGCAGGGATGACCCGGCGTGGGGGCTCGGGCCGGGAATGGCCGCGCTGCGCATGCCCGGGGCGCGGGGCCCGAGGGGCCGGGGCGGGCGACGCCTGCCGAGCAGTGACCGGCCGTGCTGCCCGACCGGGGGCCCTGCTGCCCGACGGGGAGGCCGTGCTGCCGGCGCCGAGCGGTGAGCACGGGCCCCGGCGGCGGGGTGTGGGGTGCCGAGGGCCCGGGCGGAGGGCAGGGGAGGCCGCGCCCGGCATGCCGAGGTCCGTGCGCCCGGGAGACCCCGCTCTCCGCTCGGCGTCCGCTTCAAACTTTGCCGGGTGGGCCCGCGGCGGTGACGCAGCCGGGCTGCAGGGAAAGGCCGCGTTTGCGTCGGTGTGTGGCCTCCGCTGGGCGTGCGTGGCGGCCGGAGGGCCGGGGTAAGGGGGCCGGGTAAGGGGCCGGAGGACCGTGGTAAAGGGGCCGGGGCGGCTGGCCCGTGATAAAGGGGCCGGGGGCCGGAGGGCCGGGTAAGGGGGCCGGGGTAAGGGGGCCGGAGGGCCGGGTAAGGGGGCCGGGGTAAGGGGGCCGGGGTAAGGGGGCCGGAGGGCCGGGTAAGGGGGCCGGGGGCCGGAGGGCCGGGTAAGGGGGCCGGGGTAAGGGGCAGGGGCGGCAGGCCCGGGGCCGGCGCGCCGAGTTGCGCTCTGCTTGGGCCGCTCCTGTGCAGCCGCGGCGAGGCCCCTGGCGCGTGGCGGGGCCGTGGTCAGCCGGGAGGCCCTCGGGGCCGGTGCGTGAGGAAGGGGACAGGAGGGTGTGCGGTCGAGGCAGAAGGAGCCCGGAGGCCGCATTTCGGGCGCGAGGGGAGGCCTGGGCGACGGGCTGGCTCGCTTTCTCAGTCGTCTCGGCGTGGGGAGAGTCTGCGTTCGGCCCCAGGTGTTGGCCATCTCGCCGCGGGCCCGGTGTTGAGGCCTGGCCTGAAAGCTCCTGCCTGCGCGCACTCCCTGGGGGATGCAGCCCGGGCTTCCCCCGCCCTTGCTGATCTGGGGGGCTGTCAGGCCTGGGGAGAGAGCCCCTTGTTCTGGAGTGATTGCCAGTCCCCATGGTTCACCGCTGGTGAGGGCAGCGCAGTCCCGCCCAGCAGGCCAGCGCCAAGGCCCGGTGTCCAGGGCCGAGCTGGTTCGGCCTGTCCGCCCTGGCTGCTCAGAGGGGCCCCTGGCTGGGAGGCCCTTGCCAGCCAAGGTTGGCACCCCGGCGTGTGCATGAGGTCCCTGGCGGCAAGTTGCTGAGGGGCGGGAGCCAGGATGGGAGAGTGACCCCTACCTTTGCTTCTCCCTGCATCTGCCCTAGGGCTCAGCAGCGCCTCCCGTCGGCCACGCCGCAGCTGCACGCCCTTGGAAGGTGCTACTTTTTTCTCCCTTTCAAAGACTTTTTTATTTGAAAGGCAGATTTTACAGAGAACAGGAAAGGCAGAAACAGAAGCCTTCCACCCGCAGGTTCACTCCCCAAATGGCCACAGCGATCGGAGCTGAGCTGACCCAAGGCCAGGAGCTCCTCCGGGTCTCCCACGTGGGTGCAGGGTCCCAAGGCTTTGGGCCGTCCTCTGCTGCTTTCCCAGGCCACAGGCAGGGAGCTGGACGGGAAGTGGAGCAGCCGGGATTAGAACTGGCGCCGTGTGGGATGCTGGTGTCTGGAGGTGGAGGGCTGGCCTGTTGAGCCATGCTGCTAGCTGGCACTCGCTTTACAGGCAGTGCACATTGTTGACCTGACTGCTTATTTGAAAGGCGGAGGGTTACAGCGACGGGGAAGGCGAGGTGGCCGTTGTTCACCCACTGGTTCACTCCCCGGCTGACCACAACTGTCCGAGCTGGGCCAGGCCTGAGCCTGGAATTTTCGGGCCTCCCACGTGTCACGTGCCCCACGTTGTGGGTGTGTCAGCAGGGAGCCAGCTGGCAGGGAAAGCCAGCCTGGCAGGGCCTTAGCCAGTCGTGTTACAGTGTCTGTATTTGCTGTGTAGTTACAGAAGTTGCTGCTTGGAGCCTAATGTTGACAATGACCAGAAGGACAGCACAAAATGTATTGCAAAATCAGATAGGTCTCTCATGCAGTGCCTTACACTGCTGGGGCAGCCACAGCCAGGAGCCCAGGACTGGGTCCCGGGGCGACGCAGGAGCCACCCCACTGCCTGCGAGGGTGTGCCTTGGTCACGATAGGACAGGCAGCTCATGAGACACTCCAAAGAGGGTTTAGAGTGGAGTCAGGCTCCACGATGCGCCCGTGTCCCAGGAAAGGGTTTTACTGTCTGTAACTGGAACTGTATCTCAGCACCCTCCGGTTCATGGAGCCGTGAAAGCAGCCGAGCCCGGTGCGAGGCGAGGACGGGCAGTGTGGGAGGGCGTGTCGTGCCCGGGGCCGGCGTCCTGGACGAGTGTTGAGTGCACTGCCCCTGCAGGGGCCGGCCTGCCGTGACGGAGAGCTGTGGCAGCCAGCGCGCAGAGGCTGCAGGGGCCGGCCTGCTGTGACGGAGAGCTGTGGCAGCCAGCGAGCAGAGGCTGCAGGGGCCGGCCGTGCCGAGGTTTCGGTGAGGACCTTCGTGCCCTGCAGTCTGTCATGAGAACTGCGCCTTGCAGGCCCCATAAGCCCTGTCTGCGAATGAAAAACAGATGTCCCAGCCACTAGCTCATTCCCCACCGGGCCCAAGCCAGGAGCCGGGAGCCTCCTCCGGGCCCTCCCTGTGGTGCAGGACCCCAGCACAGGGACCCTGTTTTTCCCAGGCGACATTCCTGCATGATGCCAGCGGTGAGTCGCCTTACCTGCTATGCACATTTTTTAAAATAAGCAATCTTTTTTAAAGATTTATTTATTTTTATTGGAAAGTCAGATATACAGAGAGGAGGAGAGACAGAGAGGAAGATCTTCCATCCGATGATTCACTCCCCAAGTGACCACAACGGCCGGTGCTGCGCTGATCTGAAGCCAGGAGCCAGGAACTTTCTTCAGGTCTCCCACGCGGGTGCAGGGTCCCAAGGCTTTGGCTTTCCCAGGCCACAAGCAGGGAGCTGGATAGGAGCAGGCCTGCCGGGACTAGAACCGGCGCCCATATGGGAACCTGGTGCGTTCAAGGCAAGGACTTTAGCTGCTAGGCCACCACACCACACTGGGCCCAAAATAAGCAAATTGTTTAAAAAATTGTGATGTGCTGCTTGTACTGTGGAGTAGGTAGTGCCTAAGGACCAGCTTAAGTTCCAGCTGCCAGTCACAGCTGTGAGTAGAGACGGCACAGTCGCTGAACACTCCCCCAGAGCGGGGACAGTCGGGATTTAGTTCCTGGAGTGCCACCAGTCAGGAAGGGTCACAGTCACTAATGCTGTGTCGTGTGAGCTCTGAAAGGACACAGTTACTCCAGATGACGGTCAGCGCGCACGGCTCCCGTGTCCGCTAAGCCGTGGCCATCGGCGCGCACGGCTCCCGTGTCCGCTAAGCCGTGGCCGTCGGCGCGCACGGCTCCCGTGTCCGCTAAGCCGTGGCACTGTGTAGGCTTCCTCTGCAATAGGTTAGCGCAGTCTGTAACAGCAGCCTTGTTAGTGGGGAGTCTGAAGCCTCTCTCTCTCTTTCCCTCCCTCTTTCTCAAGTTTATTTACTTGAATAGGCACAGTGACTGAGACCGGGAGAACCAGAGAGCATCCTCTCAGAGACTGACTCTCCGGTTCCTGCAGGTGGCGTGGGCCAGGCGGCCAACAGGGGCCCCAGTCTGGACCCTCTGCTGCCTCCAGGCACTTGCAGGGAACAGAGAGGAGCATCTTGCAGACAGTGGCTTCAGCAGCTGAGCCACAATAG